AAGGAAATGCATCTGCATTCAACAATTAAGAGTGAAAATTTCAGCTTGCCAAGGCTGGCATCCCTAGACTTTACAGATAGCGAAAAAAGCATGGAGTCTGAGCCTCCTTCAGAAGGGTTTTTTTCAGCTTGGCGATGCTCAGGCTCAGCACAGTACCTTTCTTTGCTCCTGGTGGGGCCTCATACATGAAATTAAGACCATTCTTCACACGCTCATCACCCATAAGCAATCTAAATGAAAGACAGTTACACACATTAGTACACACATTCACGTTACTATTTTTTTTTTTAATTAGACAGGAAATGCACAAGGACGTTTTCACCACATCTGGGAATTCCCCACTGCTTAATTTCAACACTTGGCATGCAGGATGGAAGAACGGAGGGCTCAGTCAACACTTTCCATGCTGCACCGCATGCCAGTATCATGCACTTCAATCGTAACAGAAACATAACTCAGATTATGGAAGACAGATTTCTGCGTGGTCAGACATTGCTACACAGGTTCACCTGCTGCTCTGCTAAATGTAACATACAGTGAAACGAATTAGATGAGTCACACAAACTATCTGAAAAACTGAAGACCATAAGCATGACCTTTGCTGAAGGAGATCCCAGATAATGGGTCACTGTCCTCTTCTGTCACTAAGGTGAGTGGGAGGCAGTGCTTCAGACAACGCACAGCGAGACACCCTTCGCTGCTACAAGGAGACAGCAGGAGGAGGAGCGCAATGTTTGCCAGCTCTCACCTGTTATCATAGGATTCCTGTTCTTTAAGATACTGTTGCATTAATTCTTCTTGTTTCTTCTTGTCATATGATATTTTCTGTTCTGCCATCCATACCTAATTAAAACAAGAAGTTTCTACTCTAAATAAATAATAACTTAAAACATTCTTGTACATAAAAGACTATGGAAGGATGGGCACATGGTGCCAGACAGGCTTATTCCTGAGAAGTATGGGGTTTCTCTCCGGACTAGATGCTCAGAAGCCAGAACCAGAATCACAGAATGGTTGAGGTTGGAAGGGACCTCTAGAGATCATCTAGTCCAACCCCCCTGCACATGCAGGGTCACCTAGAGCACGTGGCACAGGGTCACATCCAGGCAGGTTTGGAAAGAGACTCCACAATCTCTGTGGGCAGTCTGTTCCAGGGCTCTGTCACTCTAACAGTAAAGTTCTTCCTCATGTGGAGATAGAACTTATTCCTTCAAAAAAGATAGTTAAATGAAGGTGTGAGGAAGCAAACTTTAAGTTTCTAAACATACGGCTATTCTTTCCTGACAGTTCCTCTTTATTTAATGCAAGTTTCACCAAATCAAAATTAATATCCTGAGAAAACGCTACCAAAGATAACTTTCTCATTTCGGGTCAGTTCATACTCAGAGATATATAACACCTCTGAATACGTATTACAATGCTAACATATATACAAGGCTTGTACACCTGCATAAGGGTACTGCGGGAGAGCGGGGCGGAATGCCCTGACCCCAACGGCAGCCTTTCCTACTCGCCATCACCCCGCGCTAGCAGGACCGCGGCAGCCGCCACACGCACATGAGC